TAAATGCATCCAAATGGGCAATGTTAGCAACGGCACATGGACATGGAATCTAAATTGGAGAAGGAACTTGTATGAGTGGGAGGTTGAGGAAGCCGAGGAGCTCCAAAAGAGGATAGAAAGCGTGAGGGTAACAGATGGAGACCCGGACAGATGGGAGTGGATTCATGATAAGGGAGGCCAATATTCAACCAAATCGGCATATGCTCTTCTATCAAGGGAGCGAGTGGATTTGAAGGAAGAGAAGACATACAAAAGAATTTGGAATCCCATCCTGCCAAGTAAAATTTCAGCTTTCAATTGGCAATTAGTATTGGATAAAATTCCAACTAAAGCTAATTTGGTAAGAAGAGGGATCATTAAGGATGTGGCGGAATCTAAATGTGCCCTTTGTAATGAAGAAGAGGAGGATGCTACTCATTTATTCTTAAAGTGCAAAATTGCAAGGTGGATATGGAAGGCTTGCTCTAAGTGGTGGGGGTCAAAGATGATGGTGAACAGTGACTGCTGGAACACGTTTCAACTCCTTGGGAGGAATTCCAAAGGATCAAAAATCAGAGAAGGAATGGATAGCATCTGGAAAACAGCCGTCTGGTCCATTTGGATAGCTAGAAACCAGAAAATCTTCCATAGTAAAGAGGTAAATCCTAATACACTCTTAGAACTTATACAAATGAGATCTTTTTGGTGGATCAAAGCAAGAAAAGATTGGGCAACTATTACTTTTTCAGATTGGGTGATTGATCCTGCTGCATGTTTCAAAACTTGATATAGTGTGCGTGTAGTGCATAGAGTGGGGGATTTTCATTATGTCTCTAATTTCTAAAAATAGGAGTTGGTGTTGTTTATGGGTTTGAGTACCCCTTGTACTCTTCTTTCAATAAAATTATTGCCGTTCAAAAAAAAAATATTAGACAAAGAATACCATGCCTAGTAAAGTACGGAGAGAGCAGTAAAAGTGATCACACTTTAAAATTGGACCAGTAATTTTGGGAGTAATGAACAAGCTTAGTCTGAAGATGGACAAGCTTTGTCCGAAATTTAGCTAAAGCCTGATTTGTCGCCCTAAACACCAATTCATCATTTCATCTGTCCCAATTTCTTTTCTTTAAATGAGGGAATTTGATTTGAGCTTTAAATCAAAATTTGTTAAAGTGGGTAGAATATCAGAAATCCTGTCAGCAAAGAGATCAAGGCTAAAATGACCCTTATTGAAATTGATTTACATTGATATGGCTGCATTATGAAATAGAAAATGATTTAGAGATAATTTTTTTTATATAATCTTACATATCATTTAAATGATTGATTTTTTTCATTTATTTGAAATCTATAATAATAAATACATCAACTCATTTAATTATATAAAATTATATAAAAAAGTTGTATCTATATAAGCCTAGATAAATTACCCCACATAATCTGTCTTTGTGTTGATATTGGGTACAAAGGACACCCAAACCGTTGCAAAAAATTACAATTGAAAAATATAATCCCAATACTTCCTCTTCTATTAGATATTACCTTAACTGTTGATTCTTCCCTAAAATTAATCTCACTAGTTGTAAAAATCTGAAAGTTCTCTTCAAAATGAGAAGTGGAGATGGTGAGATCTAAATTAAACACCACAAGAGTCTTCCGAACAACATTGCTTACTAGTATTAAAAGTGGGCTTAAGTAGAGCACGTTCCACAATAACTTGTCGATGCACCGGTGACAGATTATATCGAGGACACTTCTTGTACTCCATACTCGATACCATTCCCTGATATTCTTCTCAGCCATGCTCACAGGAAGGTCATTTCGGAACCTTGGTCCCTTCACTCCAAGCCTGCAACAAATGTGAAAAAAAAAATAATAATAAAGGGGGTTATTGCAAAGATAATAAACTCCATTATTTTGTAGTTTATTGAAAAAAAATTGATTTGTGCAAAAGTCGGAGAAAAAAGTACGTACATGATCAAGAGAGATGTGGATGCATATTTTAATTCGATATTGGTAATGATAGGCTTGATAAACACTGTTTTCGTTTGTAATACATGAATCTTCTCAAGAACCATTATAATTTGGTAGAAATAACCACTTAGCATGTCTTTCATTAGAATATAATTTTGATCCATACTCATTATTAGAAACTCAATATTGGAACAGTAAACTCTTCACCAATAGCTAGTTTTAATTGTATGAAAAGGAGGAAAAATAGGGTAAATCAAATTGAAGGGAATGCAAGGAGAGGAGAGATGGTTCTTGAGAAGAAAATGTTGAAATTGAGACATATATATAGTAGAAGGATGCTAATTAATCATTATTACATAAAAGAAAAGTGAATCACAATGAATTTCATTTTTTAACTAGGAGCATGATTAAACGTAGTCATCGTGGTTTGAGTTTCCTTTATACTCTATATCATATATTTTCTTGATTGAGAAAAAAAAATGATAACTAATCTTAAGCATAAAAATACTATATTTATGCATTGTCATTCCATTACAAGTCATGACAAAAGAACATTTATTATTAATTGAAGTTTCATTTAATAAGAAGTTACTTATCAATCGTTTAGATATAACAAATTATTGATGCAATTTTATCTTATAATAAAGTTTCATAATTCTATTTATTAAAAAAAATTGTAATGCTATGTTACAATAATTATGATCACTCTTTTCACTTAACAAAATGTGTGCATTGATATTCTTTGTTCAATAGTTGTGTGATTTAATATACATTCACTCACTTGAAGATATGTAGATATTGTGAAATTTCAATGTAAGCTAAGATTGTCCTTGTGTATATTAACTTAGTTTAGAATATGATTGATATTCAAAATTGTAGAAATTATTAATAAAGTACTTGATGGTGTATAACGTATCTATTGTTGTTTTCATAAAAAAATATTCCTATAGTTTAACATATATAGATCAAAATCACAAGTTAATGTCATGAGTAGTTAATGTGAATGGAAGGTGATGGAAAGAGTATGATAAAACATTGCAAAATAGTGTAGGTAATCACTCCTTTGTAATTAATGCCTTAATTATAGAAGATTATGTAAAATCTTAATGGATTCTTTGTAATCTAGACATAATTCCACCTATAGCATACTATTAAATGCATTAGGCAAAATGCCTAGCCCTTGAACTTTCAATTTTGAGCAATTTGTCTCAATTATTTTTTATATTTTTTTGTTCCTTAACTATGAAAAATACATTTTTAACTATGAAAGCTAGGTACCCCGAAAGGGGTGGCTCAATAGTTAAGAGTTTGAGATTTCAAGTTGGAGATCTCAAGTTCAAACCTTGAGTTGGGTGGAGAGGGATTTCGGGAAAAGAGAGAGCTATCCCTTATTATATAGCCCATTCAGAAGTACAAAAAAAAAAAAAAAAATGAAAGCTAGGTTTTTTTCCTTATGTGAATTTTGTCCATTAAGTCTATATAGCTGGTATTGTTTTGGTATTTGAAAACTTTGTTTTATGCATATTTAGGTCAATGGAAGAAATTAAAAAAAATGCTAGTTGGACAAATTTAATAGAAAAAATTGAATGGTTAAGAATCATAAAAGTAGTTTAATCCACTAAGTCTATATCGCTGGTAATTTTTTGGTACCTGAAACCTCTTTTTTATGCATATTTAGGTCATTGGAAGAAATTAAAAAAATGCTAGTTGGACAAATTTAATAGAAAAAATTGAATAGTTAAGAATGATGAAAGTGTAAAAAAATAGTTTAGGGATTAAAATTGCTCAAAATTAAAATTTAATAGACTAAATTTGGCATTTACCCAATGCATTATGTTAACCATTTGGATTATTTTTTTTAAAATTTTAGAAAGTGTCAAAAAAATTATAAGAAAATATTTTCTCTTTGTTATGAAAGACTTACAATTTATATAAAACTTTTAAATGTGTATGTTGATCCCTATTTTATATATAAAAAAGGTTGTACATTGCAGTCCTCAACTCTATCAAAAATTAGAGTCATATTGTGTCTTGGACACAGAGGGAGCAGCGGGTGGCTATGGTTGGCGATGGGTGGTGGCTGTGGTGGGTTGGTGGTGCTTCGGTTGGTCTGGCAACGATGAAAAAAGGGGTGGCGAGATTCACAGAGGGGTACAACAAATTTTTTGTTGAAAATCTTGGATTTCTTTGGCAATAATTGGCTGATTTTGGGAAGTAAAACAAGGAAACTATTGACGGAAAAATAGGGATTTTTATTAGGTTAGATATTACTTCCTTCTATGGGGGTTTTCCCATTTATTTTCTATTGTAGTTTGTGAGAATAATTGTGAAAGTAAAAGTAATTTGGGGTTTCGGTTAACTTGGATTGCTTGTTTGTTATTATAGAACTATAGAATAATAGTCTGTATGAGTCGTTGTAGGGATTTACAGGCAGTTATTTATGAGTCTTATGTCCCTTACATCACCTTTATTGCCATTTTATGAGATACATTTTTCATAAAAAAAGAGTTACTACATATTTTTCTTATAATTAATTCAATACGTCCTAAGCAAAGCAACGTAACCGCAGTATTGTCTTGCAATGCAACCACATCACTCCCATTTGTTTTTTATCACCACTTACACAAACTTAATTAGCCTGGCCAACTATGAAAAACTAAAATGTAGAGCAAGACAAGGTATGTAGTTGAGAAAATTATGTACCAAAGAGAAATAACTCCCATTTTTTCTATTAAATTT